TGTTTATTAAAACGATGTAGTTTGACTGTGCTAACCCATATATATTAACTGCCCAGTTTGTCAGAAGGCAGTATCCCTGGCAGTCAGGACACATCTTGCTGAATGACCCATTCTCTGTTCTCTTGCAGAAGGTTGCCCAAGAGGGCCGGCCAGTGGATTGTCCATCTCTTGGCCCTGTTCCTCATCGTCCATCTTTTGAGCAAGGCAGTGCTGTAGCAACTGTCCCACCCTATCTGGGTCCTGACACGCCAGCCCTTCGCACCCTCAGCGAGTATGCCCGGCCTCATGTCATGTCTCCGAGCAACCGGAATCACCCCTTCTATGTCCCATTGGGTGCAGTTGATCCAGGACTGCTCGGTTACAATGTGCCAGCCATCTACAGCAGTGACCCAGCCACGCGGGAGAGAGAATTGCGAGAACGGGAAGCCCGTGAACGAGACCTCAGGGATCGTGATCTGCGTGAGCGTCTTAAGCCTGGCTTTGAAGTTAAACCAGCTGAGTTGGAGCAGCTCCATGCCGTGCCCAGTGCTGCAATGGATCCTTTTCCACGGCATGGGGGGCTGGCTCTCCAGGCAGGTCCAGGCCTCCACCCTGCTTTTCCCTTCCATCCAGGGCTGGGCCACCTGGAACGAGAACGGCTAGCCCTGGCGGCTGGCCCAGCCTTGCGCCCTGACATGTCTTATGCCGAGCGATTAGCAGCTGAACGACAGCATGCCGAGAGAGTGGCTGCTCTGAGCAACGACCCCTTGGCTCGGCTGCAGATGCTCAATGTGACCCCCCATCATCACCAGCACTCCCACATCCACTCCCACCTCCATCTCCACCAGCAGGACGCCATCCATGCAGGTGAGGAGATCCCATGGCCTCCAGCACAGTCTAGAAATGTGTTGCAAATGTCTCTTTGGAACTGCTGAATTCTCATTAGGATGACTGCCTTTGGAATCTCACCTGATTGAACACTTTCAGTAGAAGAAGGATAGGATTTCTATACAAGGGAAAACTAGCATATCAGGGAGAACTCTGGGATTGATCCATTCTCCTTGATACACTAATTTTCAACTTGCATGAAATGTTGGTGGACAGAGGATCTTTTAGTCATATAACACCTTTCCCCTTAAAAGCTCAGCAACGGGTTTGCTTATCTCAGTGAGAATTAAGTCTCAGCAACTGTGCTAGACCTATCACCCAGAAATGTCAATGAATTAATTATGAATCTCTGTGTTTGTAACCCATGATTGGTAACTAAAAATTGAATTCTGATTACCTCAAGAGAGCTTTCAAGCTCCCTCCCTCCCTCCCTTTTCTGCTTTTGATGAAATCATGATTAGGACTGTGTACTCTATCTAAATCACTAATCAAATGGACTAAACTATTGAATATTTACATATAAGCATGAATATGAATGTTTGCACAAACAAAAGAATGGCCTTATCTTAGCTATTATAGTCTGGTTGTGGAGGTAAGTAACTATTCTTTCAGAATTGGCCTCTTACATAGAAAACAATGTTTTCATACCATATTGGTGGGTTGTAAGATTATAGAAAGAATGTTATATAATGCTACATATAATTAATGTGAATACAAGGAACTAGAAGTAAAGTTCATTCAAATTCCTTATATACTGCACAAAAAGAATGTTTCCCCACCTACTCTTCCTCCTGTATTTAAAAACTAATCTCTGCTTTGCAGCTTCTGCCTCTGTTCACCCTCTTATCGATCCACTGGCTTCTGGGTCACATCTCACCCGAATACCCTACCCAGCGGGCACTATACCTAATCCACTTCTGCCTCACCCACTCCATGAAAATGAAGTGCTGCGCCACCAGCTTTTTGGTAAGAACTTTAAGGAGTGGGGAGAATATTACATCAACCAAGACAAAAAGGCATCTAAAAGATGGGGGGTGGGGGGTGAAGGGAAAGGAATAGCAGTGGAGAAAATGGACTCTGTCTGAGAAAATGGATGGGTGGGGAGAACATGGGGAGCAGTGCCCAAGTCTGGAACAGAAGGAAGGATAAAGAGGAGGAGCTTGTGGGCTGGCTTTCTCAGATATATTACTTCTTCACAAGGTATCTAACTTTTAGAATAAGTCAAATCTGTCACCTGTTTATTTTTAATTATTTATAAGGTTATATAGCTGCCCATCTCAAGCCTCTGGGTGGCTCACTACACAAATCAGAAGCAAGAAATAACAAAACAATATTGCAACAAAGCTGAGGCTCCTAAAAACGATAATCCAATCAAACTATACATGTCAGGCTCTACTAACAGCCTGGTCTCAGTGTCTTGAGAAAAATCCAGGTCTTTAAGGGTTTCCAGAAAGCAAACAGGGTCAGGACTGTCTGGATTTCAGGAGGGAGGTTGCTCCATAAGGCAGGTGCCACAACAGAGGAGGGACACTGCCTAGGTCCCAGTAAATAACATTGTTTAATTGAAGGGACCTGGACTGTGCCCACCCTGTCAGATCTGGTGGGACAGGCAGAAATAATCAGAGGCAGGCAGTCCCATTAATAATCTGACTTTATGTCTGGGAGTACAAGGGAAAAGAGGGTAGTATTTTCCCCCCAATTGCTTTCTGAGAATTAAACTGCTATGAGCTTATGCTGGTCCAGAAATGAAAAGCTAATTGACACCAGAACTGGTTTATTCAACTGTATTAAAATGAACATTAGGTTTATTAAAACGATGTAGTAAAGGCATTTAAAATTGTGAGCCTATTGTGTAGGTGGTCTGGGAACAAGTACACCCAGAGAGACTCAAGACAGACATTCCCCAGGTCTGGATTAGAGCATAGATGTAGTTCTTGAGGGAAGATCAAAAATAGGGTCAAATGCAAAGAGAACAGCAGAGCATCTTTGCCTTGGAGTGAGACGCAGAAGATAACTTTTTTGCAGACGTACCTTTTCTTTGTGAAAATTAGCCAATGCTGACATTTACTCTTCTTTGCCCTATGAAAGGTAAAGCAATCTGCAATTCCTCTTTATATTGGGTTTTCCCAAACAATGATCCCACGACCCCTGAATTACTTAGCAGTTGCAATTTATTGTTCTGTCTTTTTGCTTTCATCTGCAGCTGCCCCCTACAGAGACCTGCCTGGCTCTCTTTCTGCCCCAATGTCTGCAGCACACCAGCTCCAAGCCATGCATGCACAGTCGGCAGAGCTGCAGCGCTTGGCCCTGGAACAGCAGCAATGGCTGCATGCCCATCACCCTCTGCATGGAGTGCCACTTCCCACACAAGAGGATTACTACAGGTCTGTTGCTTTTTAAGATGTGCAGATATCCTATTGCTTTTTCACAGGGTGGAAGGAGTCAGTTCAGGCCAGGAATTAGTGACTCAGAAAATGCTTTAAGATATAGCTTCCTATCTCTGCCTAATCTGGCAGAGATTGGAGAGAGATGAAATATTGAATTTAAGGGTTTCCTAGAAACGTATTTGGCATTCCTTAGTCAGACTGGTAATAGTGGACAAGCTTCTCTAAAAGAGAGCCAGAATAGTATCTCCTATACAATGTGCCCATATCCTGTTATTACATGAGAAATTAGTCATATTAATTGAGCAACCTAGAACATTCTCCACAATTTTCTGCAATGTGCTATTATTTCTCGGCAGATGAATTCATGTGGATTTGCTGAAAGAAATCTTTTGAAAAATATAACTCTGGAACATGATTCCATTATGGTATTTCTTCCTCAGAGGACACTTCCATTGGTTGGTTGGTTGCTGCTTATTACCCAGAATCAGTTTGTAAGGCTGTGCTCTGCTTCTTCTTTTCAGGAAGAAGGCAGCCCATTGCACAGTATGAGAAGTAACTGGTAACTTCAACTAATGTGGAATACGATCATTGGATTGTAAACGGATTCTTATTTCCATGATAATATTGAGTTAGTGTTAACAGAGCTGTAGTGTCTTTTAGATTGTTTCCTAGCACCGTTCAAGATGCTGATCTGACTTTCAAAGTTTTAAATATCCTGATGTCTAAAGCAGCCTTCTCTGAACTTGTGCCCACCAGTTATGTTGGACCACAATTCCCACAATTCCTAGCCAGCCTTTGGTCATATGAGATAGAGATTGTAGTCCAATGTTTCTGGAGGGCACCAGAAGGGGGAAGAGTGTATTTTTCTTATACTAGCCTGTAACTTGGTGGAGATCATCTTTTTGACCCCTTCCTTCATATATCCATTTGCAGAAGTTAGATGAGTGCCAGAGCAAGGCCCTTTTCTCCTAATGCCCATCCTTGGAATTTCACTTCCTGGGCAAGTGTAAAGATGGGAAACTTTGCTGCTAATCTACAGTTTCCAACATGCCCAGCCATCACAGTTAATAATGAACAATGCTGGTTTCTGCAGTTTAGAACATCTGGGGAGCCACTGGTTCTTTACCCCTATTCTAATGTCTTCACTGTTACCTTTTAGGCAACAAGCAAAGTCTATCCTGTTCTCAGGAGTATTTAAGCTTTTTTTTTAAAGTAGCTACTATTTTACCTTTTTCTCATTTGTTGCTTTATCCTTTTTACGCTACTTAGGTTTTTGTTTGGATTTGTTTTGTAAGCTGTTTTCAGGGTTTTGTCAGGGTGTAAACCCCCCAAATGAAGTACTATAGTGTTTTAATGATTTTGCACTATTGTAATTGTAACTTGTAAGCCACCTTTTCAGAGGTGAAGAAAAAACCAACTAACCAGGAACTAAATTGACAAGAACTGACTCCAAATGACTATTAATACTCCCCTTTCCATTAAAGGTCCTCCCAATACTAGTGAGGCCAAGACTGTTTTGTTTTATATGGCAGTTGGTGCTGCAGGAAGAGGAAAGAACTGAAAGTTGCAGGTTTGGGGCACAATTAAGATTGGTAGAATGATGGCACCTGACACTAATCCATAAAAACAATCTAGTAGGACATTCTTCTTAGCAGCTTCATACTGGTTCCCACTGATGGGTTTAGCCCCCAGCGCAGTGGTCAGGAGTACGGCTTCCTCAGTCACTGTGCAAAAATTACAGAAGTCTCCCCCAGTAGGTATTGGACTGATCCTTACACTATCTTATTTCATGCCACAGTTGAAAGCATGCCTGTTCATCCAGGTGTTTATGGAGTAACTATCTTAGGATCAGAATAGTTCATCTGTTATTTAATTTGCTTTCCCAAAAAATTGCTGGTTTTTGTTGTTTGTGGGTTTGTCATTTATTGTTTTCTCAACACTGAGCAGTCAATTAGATTACCTAGGTGTTTTTAAACTCTACAACTTAGTGATGTTATGTTCACTCTTTTCCCTACCTTCTTCCTTGTTCTTACAGTCATCTGAAAAAAGAAAGTGACAAGCCCCTTTAAATGGACCCCATTCCCCATGATGATGTCATTATCCCTTGTTGCTGCTGCTTCTTCTTGGAGAGGAAAATCAACTCACCAAACCTGGATGAGGGAGAAGCTACCTAGTGACACAGTTCCTTAAGTCATTCCACAAACCCAAACAACTGTGGTGGGAGGGAAGAGGGTAGTACAAGGGAAAATATGAAAGATCAACAAGGACTTTGGACAAGTGGCTCACCATTCCCTTGCTTCAGTAAGAAAAGGTATGAATTGTCATGCCTGCCTTCTCTTCCTTCCATGTCCCCCCATCACCACTCCCCAGCCCTAGGGTGGATGTCACTAAAAGCATAATGGGGCTAAACATGCCTGTTTTTTTGCACCTTGACAACCAAATGGTTTTGAGGAGCACTGCATTATGGGACTTTCAAGAAGGCACTGTCATGTTCCTGTTCAGCCCTTGAAAGACTGGGCCAAGTCAAGAGGTGCATAGCACCACAGGATGGTTTCAAGAGAACAGCTGCCTTTTATCCATGCCTTGAGGGAACTTTGGTGGTTCTGGAGAATGCTCTGGAATGACAATAGTACATTTTCCTCTCATTTCATTGGTGAGGCAGATTAATATGGCCAAACAGTGCAAAGCATAGTGAAACTGTCCCTGGTGGCAACTGCCCCTTTTCCCTTCACCCATTCCAATTGATGTACTCATGCACATCCCATTAGACGTGGCAGTTTTGCGTAGCAATTCGTGAATCCTTGATCTCCCCATGTGTGTGTGTGTCTAATTTCACAGTTGTATATCTTGATCTGTTCTCATATATATATTTACATAAGAACATTAAAAGATAGCCAATTATGGGAGAAGAATCTCCCTACACAACCAATTCTACCCAGCACACACATGGGTGTGCATATGCACACACACGCGCACACACACACTAATTTATATATGAATGCAGCTCTTAAAGAAAAAGCCAGCCAAGTAGCCAAAAAAGAAGCCTTCCAAAATGTTTTAATGTTTGCTTTCTGCATGCCCAGGGGCTATTATTATCAAATGATCACGATTTTAAAACTACACCCCCTGCTATTTTGTTACAAAGCAGGGAAGTGGAAAAGGATGCCTCAAAATCTGGATCTGTTATTCTCTGCTGGAATGGAAGATACTTTAATAGATGTCCTTTTTCCACTATTTTTGCAGCTTGGTAGGTCCTTGTGTTTTGGCAATTGCATGGAGTTCTTGAAATTAGCACCTTGGATAATTGCAGCACCTTGTGAGTTTATCAAGGATTCATTATATCCAGTCTGTGTAGTAGAGGAGGGTATGTGTGAGAGCATGACTTGGTCAGCTGTACACAGACAGGCTGGACTTGTGGGATCCTGTTCCTGAATCATAGCATCCTGAGCAGAGATTTATGCAGATGGGACACTCTTCCATCATGTAGAGAAAATCCTTGCCCACGTGAGAGAATTAAGCACCAGAAATGATAAATAGGAATTACTAGCTTTCTTTCCAAATAGTACCTCTTAACAACCGTGTTTAGTATATACGTCCCCAAGAAAGATTTATGAAATGCTGATCACCTTAGCAGGGTCTTGAAGACAGCAAGAATTGGGGAAAGACATTGGTATTAGGCATTTTCTCCATTGCTAGCAGAGTAGGAGGGCAGGAGATAAAGTGGAAGTAAACCATACTTAATTCCTCTTGCCCTTAATGTCAGGGTGTCTTCAAGATGCTTGGCTGGAATCACATTCTTTGGAGTGCAAGTAGCTTCTCTTTGGAGGCTTAGTTCCTCCATGGTATAAACATAAGCTTCAATTGCAGGCCTGAGCTAGGGGGATGAATGTGTCAAAGGTAGTCTGTCCTTCAACAGGAGTAAGTATGCAGTTGCGATGGCACCTCTGGGCAAAGCAAGAGGTTGGCATGAAGTCAAGCTGGTACTTTGTGCCACCTGCCTTCATTGTGCAGCTCCTTGGGCTCAGAGGATTAGAAAACTCCAGACACAGCAGTCGTTTATGTAAAACTGCGCATGCTACAGCAGTACTTATATACAAATTCCCTAGCGCGAAGCGCCCGTTCAAGCACCTCAACCTACTAGATTTCCAGTAACGATTTCGCTGCTTCCCCGTCCCTCCCTCGCTCCGCTTGACGTCAGATACCAAAGGGGGAACGACATCGCCAGAGCAGCCCGGCATCCTCACGGAAGGAGCCAAACTGCAACGCCTTCCGGCCGCTTCCAAATTTGGAGTTCCCTTTCCGGCTTCCCCCTCCTACCATTTCGTCATTGGCAGGGCGCGGTCTTCAACCGTGACCAATGGAAGCGATCTCTTTAGCATACGGCTTTTACGATGCCCAAAGCTTCATTTTAAGGAATATAAATACGTAACTCCCGCAGGAAATACGGTGGGGCCTTGTTTTTTTTTTATATAATCGCTCCTTTTATACTGCCAGCGTGGGATAGAATGCGCCGTCGTATTTTAGTCACCAACACCTGAAACGTGCTCTGTTCTCCTTGGGTGAATGACGCGCGCTCGTACATCTCAGTGACTTCAGCTCTTTTTGTATTTGTCTAGAAGGCTTTCTGCTGTGGCGGAGAGCCTCCCAAACTTCGTCAAAGTAAGTTATGTACCTATGTAAGTAATTAAAAGGCTGCGAATAGCTTTTTCTGGTAGTTTTCTGTGTTGCAGCGCTCCTGCCCCGGAGAGTTCGAGAAGAGGGGCGTCGCTTTTACACTGGCGGTCACGTGTGACAGCCGTGGCTGTATAAAAGGGGAAGTTAACTTCGTCGAGCGCACTTAACAGAGGGGAACGCGGTGGTGATTGTGAGGGAACCTCCCTTAACACAGAACACGACGGTCATCGTTAGCGAACTCCGCTTAACCCAGGAGAACGCGGCGGTACCAACCGACATTGTGCATACTACGGATACCTTGGAAAGGCCCACCGGCCTTCTATTGTTACTGGAAGGCCTATTTCGACCCGCAGGTCACTTGCTGGGCGAGGTTCAATTTCAACTCGCAGGCGACTCCCTGCGGGTGGGGTCGATTCCCGCCCGAAGTTGACGTCCTGTGGAAGCCAGGAGAACGCCTGAAAGTGAACCTGCAAATCACCAGCGGTGAACCTTGACTCGTAGGCCCTTAATTATATCAGTAATATACCAACAATAGCCAATATTCACGAGGTGTCGGACACGACTGAACAATACTGGTCAACATCTTAGACCAAGCTAAATCCAAAAATGCGACCGAATGCTTGGAAACCCCAAGGGCGCCACAACAACAACATTCCAATAAAAGACACGTGTAGCTCTGGTTTGACCGTCGAGTTCTTGTTGCTCTAAAACTTTTTTACAGGCAGTCCTCGCCTAATGACCACCGTCGGGACCGGACTCTCGATCGCTGAGCGAAGCGGCCGGCCGCTTGGCTGCGTCCTTAAGCGGACGGAGCGGAGGAGCTGCGTGCCGAAGGACTTCAGCTCCGGGCAGAGCTGCAGTCCTTCCGGCACGCAACCCTCTCGCTCTCGAACTTTCCCGAAGCCCGCCGAAGGGCTCGCCCGCGGGCGGAGGGAGAGGAAGTCCCCCGTGGGGGCGGAGGGACGGCGCTCCGGGCTTCCGGGCGGGG